GAGGGGGCCGGGCGGGAGCGCGGGCTGGCCGGGCGGGCTCCGGGGTGGAGACGCCGCGAACCCCGTGCTGAAGGCCGGGCGGCCGCCTGCGCGCGCCACGGTGCTCGGGGAGCCGGGCGGCCTGCTGCGTACAAAGCCCTGGCGCGCGGGCCTCGGAGACGCGCTGGAGCTCCCGGTCAGGGGCCCGGGACTCCTGACCCGGGGGGTTCGCTTGGGAAGAATCCAGGTGACCCAGTAGTGCCGCGGTCTTCCCGTCCCGGGGTCCCCACTGTGTGCCGGCTGAGCTGGCCGCTTTTCTGTACTTGTCTCCTTTGAGGACATACCCCCGCCTCCCGGTCTGGTCCAGGGGTACAATGGGAGGGGTCCCTCATGCAGAGAATCTTAGGATGAAACAGCATCACATCCCTGCCCGACTGACCTTGAGGAAGCTCTTTTACCTCCACACTGGGCTAATGTTTCAATGATGAGACGGGGGTGGGGCGGCGTGATGTAATACCCTCCCCCAGGTACTGTTGTAAGAGATCATGTGTGTACATGCTAATCGCTAAATTTAAGCACTTTCGATGTCCCAAGCCCTAGGTCCTATACAGTTGGTATGAATTATCGTTAAATCATCACACTGACTCACAAGTAGCTACTGTAAATTGCAGGGAGATTATGTTGGAATAGGAAACTAAAGAATTAGTTTCCCTGTTCAATACGGAGAATGGATGTTTTATCTCTGTGATAACTAGATAAGAGTACAGTGTTTTGTAGTACTTAGGAGAGTGGTTATAGGATATAGACATGTATTTTCGCACATTTAAAGCTGAAGATAGGTTAATAATAGCCGAGTTGTGTGTGCGTTTCAGTATGTTAGAAGAGAACACTGAATGTTGTTACCCAGGAAATTGTTGAACGTTAATTAAAAAGCATAGTTCCTGAGTTAGGATCGAGAACAGCTACGAGAATTTGAGGCCAGAGAAAAAAAATTCTAAGTCGGGATGGAAGACCTGTCCTCCAACCCTTCCCCCAAGAGCATCTTGGGACAGACCTATCCTCCTCCCCCACCCCCCTTGAGGCTGGGGGAAGTGGAAGGGGTCCTGGGAAGGAAGATCCCAAGTTGTCTCTACTTACTCCTGCAGCTGGACAAGTGTTCATATGGAATGCAGGCCCTGAGATCCCCTCTGAAAGTGTCAAGGCCCTTTCTCAGGATGTGTTTGATTCTTGAAAAGTACTTCTGGAAATGAGGATGCTCACCAGCCATCTAGGTTAATAGGATGCTTAAAATTCTAAGGCCTAACTAATGTGATGAAGGGCGTGTTGGAACCTTTGCTCACTTGCTTAGTGAAACAGGGGACTTGAAGAGAGTGTTTTGGGTTTCAGTTTGGAATGGAGAGAGAACTGGAAGGCTTGGGACCCTGAAAAAGAAGGAGGAAGTAGGAAAGGTCCAGGGGCTGCACTGCAGGAGAAGGTAGTGGGAAGGGGTGCTAGCTACTTCAGTACTCCAGAAAGCCTGGCAGGCTTTAGTTCTCAGCCACCAGGGAGGTACCCTGTGTTCTCCCACTTACCTAAGGCTATGGAAGGGCAGGGGCAGGGCTCAGTGTCAACTGTACCATAAGTGGACAGGACAGGCTTCTTGGCAAAGGGTATTTTGTTTTGGACTAGGATTTGAAGGAGAGGGTTTGGGGGTACACAGTGATGGTGAAGGTAAAAGTACCACCAATAGTAAAAAGAGCAATTGCTTTGGTGAGATAGTTTGGGATTCATCTATCTCTGATTGTGTGTGAGAGGAGGAGAGAGAAGGAGAGGGAGAGAGAGAGGGAGACTGAGACAGAGAATTTTTTCAAATACTTGGCAAGGGAGCTCTACCAGCCTTTGCACTATATTTCCTGTCCATGAGGAAATTTATTCAACAAATGTCTGCCAAGTGCCAGGAGTGTGCTGAGTCATATGCTACATGCTGGGATGCAAAGATGAGTCAAAATTATGTATTCTCTTAGGAATTTCTCAACTTAGGGAGATGGACACAAGGAGCAAACTTCAAAAAACATGGAAAGTACTACGATGCTGTCACAGTTGATTGACAGCAGACTTATAGAAGAGTGGTCATTTAGTTTGCTAGAGATTCAAGGCCAGTGTGCCTCAGTGATATGAGTTTGAGTCCTGTGACAGAGGTTCCAAATGCTTCATTACTCCTATCTTTCATCTTGTTCATACTTTATCTCTACTGTGATAGTCTCTGTCTTAAAAATGAAGTTGTGGTGAGTATATAACTTGTAAACTGCTCCTTCTGTAGGGTCAGGAGAATGATCTACAATTGCCATGCTTTCAGTCCTGAATGAGTTTATATTAAGTATATAGCAAGCAAAAGTAAAAGACTAAACAGTGAATAGTAGATGGAGAGAAGCAGCAGGTAGACAGCAAGACATCATCCAGTTGGGTGCATGCAGTATCCAACAGGTACGATTGGAGCAGACTGATTGAGAGAGGAAACAAGGCAACATCATCAAATCCAGGGTTTACAAAAATCCACCAGAAATCTACTGGGGAAGCCTCAGTGAGGGAGTCATCTGAGGTTTCCCATCAAGAGTCCTGGTTGGAGCAGAGTGTCCCCTGGGTTGAAGCTTCCAAATAAAGAAACATGTAGCAGCAGGTCGATGCCATCGTCAAATAGGGGACTTCCAACCATGCAGCAGAAACCAGCTAAGGAAGCCAAGGGGTCAACTGAAGTTCTAATTGAGAGAAGCCTAGACAGGGTGTCCGTTCCCCCTCACCCCCACCCCCACCCCATCTTCTCCATGGCTAAGGCAGTTCCTATGGCTGAACTTCCCGCTGCCAGTTCCCCTTTGCAAGCATTTTTTTTACAACATGGGATAAGCAGCAACCACGGTTAGAAATGGTTTACTTTCTCAAGGACATAATGCTGTGCATCCCCATAGCTGCTTGTCATCTTCCTTTCTCCTTGTTACAGAGTTAGGAGGCCAGCCTGCCCCAGGACATGGAGTCTTGGAGGAGACAAGGGAAGGCCCCTCGTTTCCAGAGTCCACTTTCAACAAACTTAAATGGCACATGACAATTTACCAATATAATGTACATTATACTGCTTCAAACTTATTTTAGAAGGAATGCTGCTATACATAAAATAACAGCATGGACATTCACTGAGGCTGGATTTAAAAAAAAATTACATGGGAGCTTAGTCTTGCAGGAGGGATACGGGCCCTAGATAGACTTTGGAATGAAGATTCCAGGCAGAGGAAGTCCAGAATACATCCAGCCATGAGAAGATAGCAAATTCCAGGGCTTGAAGGTGAGTTTGGTCTGATTAGGTTGAAAGACATGAGAAGGTGGGGCAGGTAGAAGAGGTGCTTCTAACCAGGCAAGATCTACACTGAGTGCTTTGTGAGGAGTTTAGACGTGTCTATTGCTTAGGCAGTGGGAGAGGTGTCAGAGGGTCCAAGCAGGAGCTGGGTGAACTCTGTTCTAGGACTGTCCCTCCCATGGTTGTATGGAGGCCTCATTGGATATTGGGGAGACCAGTTGGAGATTAGGGTCTGACCTTAGATGTGAGCAGTGAGAATGGAGAAGCAGAAATAGACATTAAGGTAAAATACTGAGTAAGTCTTGTTAAATAGTTGTACATGCTAGAAAGCATTCTGGGGTTTCTGGTTTGGAAATCTATATGGGGACATCACATGTGATGAGACTTGGAGTTTTGGGAATAAATTAGTATGGTTTTGGCTTTCTGGAGAATTGGTACTCATATGGCACAGTGGTAGAGGAGATTGGTAGATAACTGGCAATATGTTTGATCCTAGGAGATAGGACAGCACTAAAGAGAAAGGTTTTCTTGTGACACCCCCACTTTCTTTTGAGCAATCACTGAGCATTTACCATATGTGAAAGATACATATAAAGTGTAGTTCCTCCTTGACAGGGCAGATGGATTGCAGTGCCAAGAAATTATAAGAGGTGCTGTGGGTGAGAGGTAAGTACTTAATAGCGCTGACCTGCAGAAGCTGAGAGGCAATCTGAAGTGGTGGGAGTGGTGGAGAGTGTCCTGGGTAAGAAGCAGGATGGAGTGGCAACACCTCCAGAAGGGTACCTTCTGCATTTCAGAGCACTTTCTGCAGAGGAGGCTTTGATAATGAATCTGAAGGCATTTCAGGGCAGCCTGGTGGGGGCGGGTTTGGGATGGCACTGTGGGGGAAGTGAAGGAAGGGGTCAGGACTTTTAAGAACACTCATCTAGTTTAAAGACAGGATTGTGCGGGTGGGAGGACAGGGAAGGGGATGATGTTTGAGGAGGAGTGGGCTTGTCTTAAATAC